AGACCTGAGCCTTCAGGACCCTTTAAATTGCACCTGAGCTCCTCACAGCAAACTCCTACGCTCAGGAATGGGCAAGGGTGTCCAAAAATTGGTGGTCGGAATAAGAGATTGTGGATGGCCCTTGTTCGAATCTCTGTTAACGGGGGCATTATTATATTATAGTATTTTGTTTGGGGACTTATCAAATATCTGTATGTGGATGGTTAGTGGGTGTTTTTGGTGTGGTTTTTCAACTGTATTCCCGTCAAACATCTATCGTCCTTATCTCTCCGCCTTCTTTGCTAGAAATACCTCTAAGCTTCGGTACTTATATGACCTATTTGTGTTGCAAGTTCCTCAAAACTTGCACTAAAACTAAAACTCTAGCAGCATCTTATTTTCGGCATTTTAATCATATATGACATATTCATTGTTTTGCAAGTACTGTGAAACTTAACCTAAAACAAAACAACCGAAAAAAAAACCCAATCTGCTCCGATTCGTCTTGGTTGGCACACGTTACAGTGGAACGGTCCGCTGTTGAATGATTTTGTGCTGTTTAAAAGGGGCCTACCTGTAATATTGTTATGTTTTTATACACTGAGTGTCAAGGAGCCTTATACTTAGATCTATGTTCACATCATTATGAGATACCTCCTCGCTGAAGCTTGCGCTCTGCACTACACGTTCTTATACTATCTGCTCAGGGCGTCTAAGCTCGGCCCCCATAGGGTTAATAAACAGGCAGGGTTTTCATAGCGTCGAGAGCAGGCCTCTGGTATGACTGTCTCTTCTGTCCACGAGATGCAACCCTTGGAGACCAGAAAATGTCATTAGTCTCGGAGAATAAGCTGGATTTATTTTAGTAGACTAGTGGGGGGTAATAAGAAGAGTGTAATAGTTGTTGTCTGTATATTCTAGAGTCTCAATGAGATATGATCACTTTATGCCATCTATTTGACCCTATGCTACACAGTTGATCCTATACCACCCCGTTGATCCTTTGCGATCTGTTTGATTCAGATATATGTAATATAGTGAAGTTACGGCTTGCAGTTTTCTATTTCAAATTCCTTATTTGTGTAGAATGTAAACTGTAGATAGAAAAACAGATGAAGTATGCTTCTTTTCTCAAAGTGTCTTCGAACTTTGTGGAACTACTAGGCTACAAGTCCTCAGTGAGTAAAAGGTGGGGCAAAGGGGATG